ATATATATATATATATATATATCTGTGAATGTTAATTTATCTTCAGTAGTATGAATTTGATTATAACAGAAAAAATCATGCATTCTTATTGAACTTGTTGCAAGTTTATTGTTTAATAAATTACACACATTACCACTAGACATATTAGATCATTAGATTATTTTATACAGGCATGACTTCTAACTGTTCTGCTATTAACCAACAGATAGAAACTACTATATTATACATCAAACATGTCATTGATCCAATTTGAAAATTTCTTCAGTAAATTGATAGTTCCTTAATATTTATTTAGCAATAATTTTAATTTTGATTTATGTATTTTAAGTTTGATTATCTCAAACTCTGCAAACCTGGAATATATTACAGGACTNCGTGCTATAAAAGTACCGTGTTATACGAGGGATAGTACCAATTCTCGAACCGTGTTAGAGCGAATCCGTGCTATAGAAGTGCCGTGTTATACGGGGGTTACCTGTATTTTAATTAACATTTTCAAGGTTGATTTGGACTATTATGCAAACTTTCAATTCCACTGGTTATTAGTTGAAAAAACACAAATTCACTTTATTCATTCAAGTTCTTTTTACTTTTGTAAAAATTTGATGATAATATAATTAAAATAACAATGATATTTCATTTTGTCTTCAAAAATTTTTAATTTAAATTATTTTGTATTGATTATATGATATTTCTAAATTAGAAAATTATTCAGTTTTGTTGAATGATGTGAAAATTTAAAATGAATTGTATTATCTAATAAATGCTGTTAAAATTAACTAAATTATTTTTATATATACATAAAATTTCTATTTTCTGTTTTAGTTATTTATTCAAAATTATGAAAGCTCATTTTTATTTTTTACTATTAATTTAATGTTCTGTAATTTTAAGTTAGTTTTAGAAATAAACAAGTTTTATTTACAATAAATTATATTTAAGATATTTAAGACTTAACATATTTTAAAATTTTATTGTTCATATAAAATTTAATCTATTTCATATTTATAATTTAACACTTTTTTTGAAATAATAAATCATTCAAAAACATGTTATACAGCATTATAGTTTATTTTAACATAATAATTACATATTTATATTAGGCTAGAATAATTACAGTGTATTGGTTATGATTTATTTTAGATAATTTAATAGTAATTTATGAAAATATAATGTTAATAGTTGTAATTTAAAACATTCTAGTTTCACCAGAATTCATTGATCGTCCTTTGAGTCAAGTAAAACCAACTGCACAAACTGCTCGATTTGAATGCACAGTAGATGGAATTCCTGCTCCTTCAGTACAATGGCTTAAAGATGGTCAGCCATTATATATAAATGGGAGAATCAAATTAAAGACAGGCAATGTATTAGTTATTTCACAAACAGTAACTTCTGATTCTGGAATTTATCAGTGTATGGCTACAAATATAGTTAGTACTAATGTAGCTTCTGCAAGATTATTAGTAAACACATCAAGTAAGTAAATACTTTAGCAACTTTTTAATAAGATTCTAATTGTATACTGTTTTGAAATGTAGTTATAATTGATTAAAAAGAAATTTACAAATAATGCTTGCTTGTTTAATGATACACTGTTTCAGTAGGAAAAACAGTTCTATATCCATGTGTGTTAGTTGTGCTTTAAAAAATTGATATTCCTAGACATAATGAAGATATTTATAGTTTCTTCTATTTTTTAAATATTAATGTCATCCTGGTCAATGTGTTAATTGATATTACTATTGTATTATAGCTATAGTGATGTCTTGTCTTGGATTGAAAAAAAATTAAATTCATACATTTACAGATCTCAGTTTTTATGGCAATATTACCAAGTGTATTATGAAGTAAAAAGCAGTTATTAGTGAATATGAAAACAATATTTTATTTACATAAAATTACAAAAAATTACAACAACATTTATATCATTATTTTTTATAAGTTGGAAATATTTTGTTTTTGTTCCTTTTTGTGTTTTTGTTAGCAGAACAACTAGCAATGGTATATCTTGACATTTTGAATGAACCAACATTGCAATAATTCTGTTTCTAGTAATTTCACATTATTATAGAATTGCATTTTATTTAATAGTCTAATGCTTTTAAAAAAATCCAAGAAATAGAAAAATCTTTAATTTTATATTAATTTGTTTTTAAGCATTTAGAAATAAGAGTTATTCTATAATGACTAATTAAAATAAAGTATAGAAATATTGTTTTTATGATAACTAAAATTATTTATTTATTATTATTATCATCATAGATATTCATAGAATATCTAAAGTTCTCTGTTTAGCTGTTTATTTTATTAAATTCTTATACAGTTAATTTAAATTTATAATAATAAAAAAATGAATTTTTAAATGTGACAATGGTGATAATGATTATAATATATATCCATATAAGCAAAATAAAATTAAATATATATTGATATTAAAAATAAAGCAAAAGAGTAAAAGTTTTAGACTTGAAATACATCAAACCTTATTTTATTTTTAGTGTTTTTACTTGTTTTTGTATCAAATATTTCATTATCCATTGCCAGACAACTGGGTGAACACATAAATGATTATGAAAAAGATATGCTTTGTGATATATTAGCAGTAATTAACATTAACTAATCATTATTAAAAATTGCATATTTGTAAGAGTTCTTTATATCAATTTCTGAATAAAATAAAATAAGAATAATTCAAATATTTAACAAGTTTTATTTCAGTATGTTCCTAATATAAATTCATAATTTAAAAAATTCAAATATAATCAATATATATATATATATCAATATATAAAATATAATATAATCAAATCACTCTGTTATATTATTTTTCTGATTTAGATCCTGGCTTTTTACTATTTAAAATTTTTACTAAGTAATATAGTTAATATTGATTAAAAAATAATTCTATTAAATGAAAATTATTTTACATAACATCTAAACTTGAATAATTTTTATTACTGATACTACAGATATTTGATAATACAATAAAGTTTTTAAGAATTTCTAATATATATTTTATAAAATTTAATATAGAATAACACACTGTATTACATTTTAATTAATGATTAATTTTAATTGCTAATTTAGGTAGTCAACCAGATCCTCCTCAGGGATTACGTGCACGAACAGTTTCTAGTTCTGCTATTTTACTGATGTGGAATCCAGCTATTTCACCAAATGGACTAAATATTCAAGCTTACACTGTACATTATTTGCCTACTTCAGGTAATAATGACAAAATTTATTAAAAAAAAGAAATAAATTAATTAATTAAATAAATTTTTAAATATGTTAAAAATTTTAAATTTTAAATTTTAATTCTGTAAATTCTATATTTTGAAAATTAATTCTATAAAAATTAGTTGCCAATTTTTGATAATATCTGGATGTTGTAATTAAAAATTTTTGATAATGAACAGTACAGTAATATATGAAGAAGTTACTAATATAATTATTTACTGTAAACAAACTATCATAATTTGATTTCTAATGGTTAGATGTCTATAATCTAAATTATTTTCAGCTTAGGAGTAATCAAATTACAAAATCTGGCATAAAGATAAACTGTTAACGTACCATTTTGTACTGAAATTAATAATTAATTTCTTCCTTAATCTTCGAAATTAACTAATTAATTCAAAATTAATTTTTAATTATTAATCTTAGCACAAGATGGGTCTATTTTTAGGCCAAATTCTGTAATTTGATTGATTAATAATTAGCTTTATTTTAACCAGAAAAAGTTTAGTTTTTTGTTATAATATTGCTTTTATATTTAAGATTTTGATGACAAACATGTTTAAAGATTTTTTTATTTTTAAGTTTTATTATATGTAAAATTAATGTAAAATTTGAATGGAGAAATGCTGTTTGAAATTTTTGAATAATATATTTCCATTCTACATTTTGCTTTTCATGAATATAAAGTGTGTAATGTTCTTTAATACCATGTGGTTTAGTATTTCTATGTTCTTTTTTTCTTCTCAGTTGATTGTGTTGATTTATTTAGTGTAAATGTTTTCATCAAAATTTACTGATTTATGTCATTATGATACTATATTATATACATTTTTCTTAAAAAATATATATATATTTTCTTACATTTAAAATTATTTGTACTGAGATTAATAATGAAAACTTAGCTGGAAAATATTTATAAATTCAGTTTTTTGAGATAAAAAATTAAAAATATTTATAATTAATTATATTTATGTCTTGTTATAATAAAATTTACTTCATAAACTGTAGTAAATAAAAATTCAGAACTATGATCTGCCTTCATATTAAATAAGTAAATGTTAAAAAGAAAAAAATTTTAATAGATGTCTTACTATAAAACACAATATATCAGGTCAGTCCATAAGTTCCTGGTATTTTATGATCTTGAGAAAAATCTTGTTTTGATGTTAAAAATGCCAGTCTAATGTGATACTTTTTACACTGAAGTGTTAAATTGGATCTCATTCATATAATACTGTTCAGAATTGAGAACATTTCAGTTGTTTATTTTCGTTAAAATGGAAGTAACAGATGAATATAAGAGACATGTTTTATACTTTTTATTTTTAAGTGATGAGAATGCTACAAATGCAGCCAAAAAATTAAATACTGTTCATAATCAAACTGTAATTAGTGTAAGGACTGCGCAGAAGTGGTTTGAAAGATTTAGAAATAATGATTTTAGTGTGGAGGATAAGGCTCGTACTGGAAGACCCGTTGACTTTGATGATGATGCTCTCTCTGCACTAGTTGAAGCAGAACCATCTTTAACAGTTGATGAAATTGCGGAACGTTTAAATTCATCCCATGGAACTGTTCATAGACATCTACAACAAATCGGAAAAGTTTCAAAGCTAGGAAAATGGATACCACATGAACTGTCAATAGCTAACTGACAACAACGTCAACTGCTCAACTCAAAAGCTTCAACTGGGAAATTTTACCTCATCCACCATATTTGCCAGATATTGCTCCCAGTGATTATCATCTTTTTCGGAGTTTGCAGAATTTTTTAAAAGGAAAAACTTTTGAGGATGAGAACAATGTAAAAAAGGCTATTTCTGAATATTTTGATTCAAAACCGAAATCATTTTACAAAGACGGGATTAAAAAGCTACCATCAAGATGGCAAGAAATTGTACAAAATAATGGTGAATACATTATAGATTGAAATAAGATTTAATTAAAATTTTTTGTTGCTTTTTTTGTAGATAAAAATGCGCACAAACTTATGGACTGACCTGATATATTCAAATACTGTAGTTCTAAACTTCAAATTATTGAAATTTAGAACTACAATATTTAAAATATCTAGATCAATTTTGCAAATAGAACAACAAATTTAGTAATTAAGATTTATATGAAAATAATGCAAGCAATTTTTAAAATACATCATTTAATAAAATTGGTGTTTTTAATAAAAGTCCTTTATGTTAATAGACACCCACAATTGCAATAACTAATCAGGCTATAATTTGGAAATGTTAATTAAGACGAGATGGCACCTAATGCTTTCCTCAAGTAACAAATTTATTTGTAATTCTTAATTAATATTTCCAAATTATAGCCCAATTATTTACGGTAGTCGTGGGTGTCTATTTGCTAAGCATTCAGTTTCAGTAGATGTTTATATCTCATTTATGTTATGATACAACATTAGATACCATAATGGTATTATGACTATCAAAATGTAAAGTAAACATTTATAAAATAAATAAAAAGTAAATCAAAAATACATTTTATCTTACTTATCTGTCAAAGGGAGAAAATTGTACCAATATTTTCTCTGTATATTTTAAAATCATTGATACATTCTTTTTATTCTATTTTTGTCTCTCTATTTTTATCTCTATATACTATATATAAAACATATTTCTTTTTAATGCATCATTGCGACACTACAACAACAATGTTTGGAAGGTAATTTAAACATTTTACAAGTATATAAAAAAGAATATTTTTAATAAAAGTTCAAATAATCCTCCTCCTACTTCTACACATAGAAACATCTATTTAACATTGATTGTTAGACATGATTAAAAACCTATGAGTTATTTTTAATTTTACCCATGACTGCAGTAATGTGACACCTTCCTTTGTTTTGATAGGATTCTCATAAACCATACCCCAAAGAAAGCATCTAATAGCATTAGCCATTAGAAGTATTTCTTTTTTCTCATATTTGAATGCAAATAGCACCATAGTAGTGAATTAAAGAGAAAAATGTTATTGACAAAAAATATTTATTTTTGTGTCCTTCATATCTTCCTGAAGTTTGTATAACTTTTTTACATTATTATACAATAGTTATATCTGATACAATTTAATTAAGTTTAAAAAGTTTTTATTTTTGCTGTAAAGTTTATAATTAATGTAAAGTTCTCAAAATTTAAAAAATATATATATATATGTATATATATATTCACATTTAGAAATAAGAGTTATTCTATAATGAGTAATTAAAATAAAGTATAGAAATATTTTTTTTATGATAACTAAAATTATTTATTTATTATTATCATCATCATAGATATTCATAGAATATCTAAAGTTCTCTGTTTAGCTGTTTATTTTATTAAATTCTTATACAGTTAATTTAAATTTATAATAATAAAAAAATGAATTTTTAAATGTGACAATGGTGATAATGATTATAATATATATCCATATAAGCAAAATAAAATTAAATATATATTGATATTAAAAATAAAGCAAAAGAGTAAAAGTTTTAGACTTGAAATACATCAAACCTTATTTTATTTTTAGTGTTTTTACTTGTTTTTGTATCAAATATTTCATTATCCATTGCCAGACAACTGGGTGAACACATAAATGATTATGAAAAAGATATGCTTTGTGATATATTAGCAGTAATTAACATTAACTAATCATTATTAAAAATTGCATATTTGTAAGAGTTCTTTATATCAATTTCTGAATAAAATAAAATAAGAATAATTCAAATATTTAACAAGTTTTATTTCAGTATGTTCCTAATATAAATTCATAATTTAAAAAATTCAAATATAATCNCCAAAATATCAATGGCTTCTCGTAGATTATTAATTATTAATTAGTATTAATTTTATAAATACAATTTAATATTTGTGAAGTTCAATTTTATTTCTTATTTATTTCTTAAAATGATTATTTAATATAATAACTTGCTATTTTTGTTTCTAAAAACAGTTTAAACTATGATATCTATGTATATCTTTTAGTGATTCTATTTGTCCAGGTTGTAGTTTTTCATTGCTTAATGTGGTGGGTTTGTATTCTGATATGTTAAGTTTCAGTAATAGCGAGGTTGCAGCCAGTGTTTTCATCATGAAAACATGAACTTATTCGGAACTTATTCGGAAAACATGAACTTATTCGGAACTTATTGTCGAGATCGATAATCTATCGAACTATTGTTCGATAGATTATCGATCTCGACTAGATTATCGATTAGATTATCGATCTCGACAATAAGGAAAGACAGACAACGAACGGATCGACGGATAGAAAACAGTAGAATTGAACATTGGATGTTTAGTGCAGCCTTCCTGTAAGCCTAGAAGTTTGACAATGGCATTTGGAATGTCAAGCATGATTCCACTGACATTCCAAATGCCTTTGTCAAACTTATAGGCTTACAGGAAGGCTGCACTGAACATCCAACATACATGTTTTCACGATGAAAATGTCGGCTGCAATATCTCTAATGTCGCAGTTCCAAATTTGTAGTTAAATCCATGAAAATAATATTACTATATTTCTTTTATTTATTTACAGATATATTAATTGGTATATATCTTATTTAGTCAATTGCAAAACAAAGGTTTGCAATTGACCAAATAAGATGTACACAGCTTAAGAAATTTCATTTCAGTTTATGACTTTATATTGATTATATTCAAATACTGTAGTTCTAAACTTCAAATTATTGAAATTTAGAACTACAATATTTAAAATATCTAGATCAATTTTGCAAATAGAACAACAANAGAAATCAACTGTTTCTATTTTAAAACAGTTCAAGATTATTGGTTTTATATATCTTTTTTAAGATAAAATTTTTTTGGGCAATTTTATGTCAGATATTGAAAGTATATATATTCACACACACACACACACACACACACACACACACACACACACACACACACAAAATACTAAAATTATCAGGAGTTGGAGTTGGAGTTGGAGTTGTGTGTTTTTTCACCAATCTCACAGCCCTGGTT